AGGATTGACAAAAAATAGCCTCAGCATGCGTAGCGACTCAAATACTGGGTTCCCACATGTTTCAGTCAGGTCATCACATGTCTTGCGCCTAGACACTCACTTCAGGGACACACGTCCACACGAAAGTGAGAAATGCTGTGCCGCACCGGGAAGGAAAGCCAACCTCCGGGTCGCTTGGATACGACAAATTGCTTCAACGTAACGAGTTGCGCCGCGGCGTCCGGTCGCTTGCGCACATCCACTATGCTGGTAGACGTTTTAGCCCGTCCTTCAGTATCATAATGCTAAGATTGTATCGTTGTAACTTCGTATAGATGTATAAGGCTTGGCACTCCTCATCTTCGTCACTCTCAAAGTGTTGCTGGTTTGCTGGTAGATTGCACATTTCTTTTCCGTCATCAATTCAGAATCATACATCCATGTCGCCTTCAACCTGAACCTTGATTGTGAATTGTTGAAATGGTCGACGTACGAATGACTTCGAGCAATCGAATTTCATGGGGATGATGATTGGGAAGTTCTTTAACGGACCAAAAATATGTCGGCGCATATGACATCGATCAGGCTAGGTACCCGATGATCTCACAATCTTTGCAGGACTGCTAAGTATGACATTTTTCTTTCATTTTCTGTTGAACTTGCTTCACTAGCGCCCTTTGGTTTGGGACAAAGTTCTCGTCTCAGCAGCCTCCGTCCTTCGACTATTTTCCATGACTTCAAAATTAAGGCGATTGAAGGTAAATATATACGAATCTGGAATGCAGTAAATCTGATTCTTCTCGCACATTCAAATCAGATTTTTTACTTTCATACATTGAATGGCTATTGAGGAGGAGCGTTCCGATGATAATTTAAAAAGTTCGGGCTTCAGGCATGGATTCAACAGTGTATAAGGCGTGCACGCGGAAAGTGGATGCAATCAATTTTTCTGCCGCCACGATGCTCTTAAAAGACGTCCTTAGCTCTCATAACAATAATTCATAATAGCTTTTACATATGATGTTTGTCAGTTATCAGATCATCTCGATGCCACCAAGATGTAGTAACCCCACGAGTCGCTCGGTCGTGTATGCTGGCTCTTTCCTCTCGTGGACACACCCTGTTACGGACCCGCGATGAATTGGAAAACACACGTCCACCCCGAGTGTGCAGCATCCTATCACAAAGTACCCCCTCTCCGTATATTTGCTCGCAATTTACCCTGGCCATTTTTTCTTCCAGTTGGAGGTGTCGCGCATACGCCTCATCTAGGAGCCCGGTTACAAGAAGATGTCAAGCCTGGCTGTTCTGATTACAACACCGTTCGTAAAGAATGCGCCCCGGTCCATGAAAATGTCACAGCTTGGAAGGCAATCCGAATATTTCTATCGGAAAAAGGAAGGCGTACAAGCTTTTTGGCGACACACTTCAAGCACAATTCCTCTCCCCCCTTGTGTTATGAAGGACACTGATAGTATGTAGAACGAATGATTAACGAATGATTACTCTACCAAGTACGTGTAACTTGTATGATGCTTGTAGTCGTTATAGGCGACGAGAGGAGACAACTCATCCCCTTGACAAGCAGATGGCTGGTACGCGTGTATCAAGAAAGAAAAGATCGATTAAGGCTTGCCCTCGTCCTTTAATATACTTTGATTATTGCGGAATTAGTACATAAATTCAAGGTAAAGCAGGGCTTCCAGGCGAGGCTAAGCTCAACTTGTCACCACGGTTCGAGATGCACCAAAATCAGCGACTCGACCACGTACCACTAGTAGTTTGAGGCCCGCACAGCTCTTCGAAGAGGACAGATATCTGAATGCCCGTCTTTTGGAGGAAAAGAGACGAACTACCAGACCATATTTCATTTTTTATAATGTACAGCGATGCGCAGGACATCCTGGAACGGCGTTACGACCATTTGGGTGTTCCTGGTCGCAGGCACAGGTGCGCAAGCCTTCTTCACTGTCTCTTCAACACGGCCTCATTCACTCCTGTCGAGAGCCGCATGTGATCTAAATCAGAATAAGGACTCCCTTAAGCAAGCTTCATTTCCGTCTCTTCAATCTCTTCCCGGTCTGGGCCTCTTAGCACTTAATGTACTGGCCCCTTCTTTGATTCCCCCGTCCGCCCAGGCCCTGCCTCAGAAGGCGCCTGAAACCAATGCACAAATGTTGCTGATCGATGCCCTTCCGAAAAAGAACCCTGTGCTTCTGGACATGGCATCTTCGTTGGCCAAGATCACCACAGAAGGTAGTGGGAATATTCGCTCGATCGACAGCAAAGGGAGCAAAGGCATCAAGCCCTGGCCAGAGGTTCAGAAAGCCGCCAGGAGTGCATCGGGCACAATCGCAGGACGTGGCAAAGAATTAATTAAAGGCGCCACGGATGAGAAGGCTGCTCAGGCTGTCTTGACAGATCTGAATGTCCGAATCGATCAATTGGGGGCAGCCGCCGACGCGCAAAACCGGGAAGCCGCCGTCACGGCCCAAGTACAGGCACTCTTGCGCCTTGAACAATTGGGTACCTTGCAGGTTCCGACCATGCCCTTTCAGCCTCCGACAGTGGAGTACCCGAGCGTTCCCCAACTGCTGGGCCGAGCTGAGATTGAAATCACAACGCGTGCGGGGAAAACGAGGCAGACCCGACAAATGTACGCAATTTTAGACGGGTTCAGTGCTCCCTTGAGCGCCGGCCAGTTTGTGGATTTGGCGCAGAGGAAGGCCTTCGATCAAACAAAGATAGTAGCCACGGATGAGTCCTCTGTGACAATCACCGCGGATGCTGTAAAGTCCCCAAAGCGCACCGTGCCTCTCGAGATCTTGGTGGAGGGGGACAAGGAACCCACGTACGGCGAAACTTTGGAGGAGCAGGGTCGGTTCAAGGAACGCGTGGTCTTACCCTTTAACGCCTATGGGACCTTGGCCATGCTGCACCCGCTCGACGACCCGAACGGGGGGGCCAATTCCTTCTTCTTCCTGAAAGCCGACCCAAGCTACACCCCTGCGGGCTTGAATACGCTAGACGGGGCATTTAGCGTCATTGGGTACGTCGTGCAGGGTGAGGATGCCTTAGACGACTTGTTGGCGGGGGATGTGGTCGAAAACGTGAGGGTCCTATCGGGGTCAGAGCTGCTAAAACAGGGCAAATGACCTTAAATTGCCTTCTAATCGGCCAAATTTGAAAGAAAGAGATGAAGCTTTGAAAATTGTAATTAGACTTGAAAAAAAAAGAGTTTGTTCCGCTAGTTTTGTCCTCGCTCTTGAAAATAGAATCGCATGGGGAGGTTAATAGCGTTACCGTGACTCGATCATCAAAAGTCATGCAATCGTCCCTCTAATACAACATGTACATCAACACAGGAAAGATGTCTACCTGGGTATGTACAGATTGTACTTACAAAAATCTGCCAACAACAGCCTTCTGTGACATGTGTACTGCCGCACGCCCTACCAGTATCGCATGCGATGCAAACTGCCTGAGTAATTGCCTGAAGAAAGAGGAGAACCCTGAAGTTTTGAGTGTAGGAGGGCAACCTACGGACAAGAGCGACCAAACTGACTTTACGTCGGAAGCAAGAAAAGGTGAGGCTGTCAAGCATGCGCCAGCCGCGCCACTTCCCGTGAGTGTCGAGGAGGGTGATGGCTGCAACCCTTTTTCTGTCTTCATGTTCAGAGATGACGACGAAGGCAAAAGTGCTTCAATTCCTGCTTTGCCGCCCAGGACAAGTATTCTCGCGTCTTCTTTGTCCCTGAAGCGGCCGTTGAGTAAGACTGCTGTCGGACAGGGATGTGGTGGGACGTCTGCACACAGCGTCCACGAGAAAGGTAGAGGGAAGAAGAAAGAGAAAGCAACGAAACAAAGCAAATCCCACCACCGACCGCCGACAGGATGTAGTGGGGTCGCTTCAAAAGGTTTTGAAAATGAGAGCGAAAACCAGAAGGAAGCAACGATACTGAAATGGCGGCGCATTCTCGGGCCCCTGTCAACGCAGACGGAGGGGGGGGGGGCCGACCGCGAGGAGGGGAGGTGAGAGGGAGAGGAGCAGAGGAATGCGGCAAAGAGAGTGAAGGAGCGGCATGGGGCGGAGAAAGGGGTGCAGCACGGTACCGTAGGAGAGAAGGAGGAGTAGCTACCGGAGGAGCAAAGGACCTGACCGGCTCAGTGGCTGAAGCGGTCGGAGAGGCAAGTGAAAGCGAGGCGGGCATGGGCCCCGGATCGACGCTTCTGGGTGCCGACGCTGCCAATCTTCAGCGATTTCGTCTCTTAGTGGCCGTCATCTTGTCCTCCCGCACGCAAGAGCAAATCGTGCGACAGGCTATGGAGACTATCTCCCGGGAATACCCAGGGCCGCGCTTTTCCCCTGACAGCTTTGCAGCGCTCCCATCGTCGGAGGCGCTCTCGGAGAAGTTATCTTTCGTCCACTGCAACAAGGTCAAGAGCAAACACATCCTCCAGTCTGCGGCCACCATCCAGACGGAATTCGGGGGCAGGGTGCCCGGCCGGCGGGAGGGACTTTTACGCATGGCGGGCATCGGACCCACACTGGCGCCGTTGCTCGAATACCTGTTTACGCGGCTCGACGAGGGGGACAAAGCTGTAGGGAACTGGGTTTGGAAAGCAAAGAAGGCGGGATGGGACGGGGAAGAGCGTGGCAACTCGAATGATGTAGTGGACAGGAAGGGGGACGAGGAGGCGAAGGATGGAGGAAGCAGGAGATCGGACCGGATAGGCGCAGCGGGCGGGAGAGCCATGTCGGATGAAGAAGCTAACGTTGAGCAACAGGGGACTAGAGGGCGGGAAGGGCAGTGGGAACTGCGAGAGCTGGAGCTGCATGGCTATGTGTCGGGGAGAGAGCACGGGAGGAGCCAGCGGGTGGCGGACGTGGTGGTTATAGAAGACTAAGTTTGGGTGCACAGGCGTGTTTGATTTGAGTGGGAACCAGCCCTTTTCTACATTTTGCACTTCAAAGATGAAAGCGAACAGCTGTGAATAAATTGAGGGAGAGATGAACCCGGTTACTCTCACTTAATGGTGCGGCGGCTTCCGTCAGCCCCGTCGACTAGTTCGTCTTGCCCAGAGACAGGCTTCTGGTCCTCGTTTCTGTACAGACCGAGGTAGATCGCTCGCGGCTGTCCACATAATTGGTGCCACCCTGCTTCGCGCACCCCCTATTCGATCCCCGTGCCCCTGTCCATTCTCAAATACCTTCCCACCACCAGACGCGCCAACTCCCGGCATTCCCCCTCCCTGTAAATACACACCAAGTTCCAGGCCGCCTCTCGTGTGACGTGTCCCTTGCCATCCACCGTTCTCAGCTCCTCTTGATACCTGTCAAAAATGGTGAGAGCGTCTTGGTAGAAGGGCACCGCCATGTGCAGTAGCCCCGCCTGGTGAAACGCCCGGCCCATGTTGTAGACCACCTCTTGCTCCAGGGCCCGGGTCGCGCCTTTGACCAGCCGCTCTCCCCTCTCCTCCATGTCCCTTCCGTGCGCGCCGTTGCTGTCTTCCATGCCGCTTCCATCCCCCGCCTCCCTTTTCAACACGTCTTCTTCCACCCCCTGCACTAGCCGCAACCTGGCGTACTGCTCGAGGAAGGCCAAACACTTGACCAGGCATCCGTGCCGGTCCACAAGCTTCCGGTGCGACAAGACTCGCATCAATAAGGCTGCTGCCGCAAGGGTGACCAGGGGCTCGGACGGCGCCATGCGGTACGCGCCAAGGAATTTGTCGAGGGCCATCTGGTAGTTGCGGGAAAGGGCGAAGGCGTTCCCCGACAGGAGAGCGAGAGGGAGGGACTCCGGTGTCTTGTGCGCCATGCGGCGAATCACGGCGCGGTTCGCGTCTGCCCGGGTGGCCTTTCTGACCAGGCGGTTGAGAGCGTTGCCGCGCTCGATCGAAGTGGGTAGCGCAGAAAGAGACACGATACACGACTTGATCGCTGAGGAGTAGTCATCCTCGTTGACAGCATGGGAGAGCGCGTACTCATGCAGCTCCCGCCCATGCTCCTCCGTCAGCAAGTGCTTCCGTTGCACTAGCACGCGCGCCAAAGAGCCAGCCTCCCGGACCCTGGCACTCTCCACACAGCCCTGGATCAGGGCCCGGGCCGCCTCGTAGACTTTGGGCTCGCCCAGCCAGGTCAGGACCTCCACGCGGGAGGCATGCACCTTCAAGTGGCGCTCCAAAGCGACTTGAAAAGGCGTGCGGGGCCAGGTGCGGGGCAAGAGCTCAGCAATTTCTGACTGGGACTCATGAGGGGGGGATTTGCTGCACACTGGTCCAAAGAGGGCGGAGGAGTCCTGTGCGTGTGCGAGCAGGCTGCCTCCTTCGTGTCGCCCCTGGCCCGCGTCCGCCTTGTCGACGCCCGGGCAGCCGTGACCGAAGGACCTGCTGTCTCTATCGGGCCTCGTCTTCTCTCCCCCTCCACCTGGTCCCTCTCGCATATCTTTCCACCTTGCCTGCCCTCGTTGACCTCCCCCCCCTCCACCGGTTGCCTCTCCCCTTCCAAGTCGGCCTCGTCTTCTTCCACTGCTCCCTGTTCCTCCGGGACCTTCGAAAGTCGCTTTTGGATTGGAAGACTGCCATTTCTACTAAGGTCAAGACTACCGAGAAAAAGTCTTGGTCCCGTCCTAGCGCCCGACACAAGAGGCCGTACTCCAAAAAAAGCTCAAACTCGGTGGTTCTTGCATCCACGCTGCACGTCACTTCCCCCTCCTCCTCTCCTCCCTCCTCCCCCTCCACGCTCCCGTTGCCCCGTCACATCAATGCCCTCGACACTAGTCGTACCACCAGTGTCAGCGCCACCCCCTTCAACAAGACGCGCACAGGGGCGACTAGGACCTGGCGGACCCCCTTCTCTGCTCGACGCTGTCCCCGGCACATCCCCCGTCCCTCCCCCATGCTCCACATCACCCTCCGCTCCTTCCTCGGCGCCCGCCTCCTTCCCTTGACCCTCCTCACAGATCTCAGCCAACTCCCGGGCCGTCCGGGCGAGGCACGCAGCCATGCTCGCTGGCTCCTTCAGACCCCGGGCGGTGGCCGCCTGCAGCACCACGACCTCCCTTCGCACCGGCGCTCGCAACCCTTTCGTTCCTTCCCGTCCCCCCCTCGTCGTCCCTTTCGCCCCTCCAAGTCCTTTTCCAGATGTGCCTTCCCCATGAACCCCTTCGATCTGATCCAGCACGCCGGCCGCGCCCGTCAACTGATTGAGCGCCACGAGGCACCGGGCCATCTGCAGTTTCACGCGCAAACGCCCAGGCCGTGGGAGCGTGGTTTCCGCACGTCTCTGCCCGATACCAGCACCGGCGCTGCCCCCTCCGTCCAGCCTCCTGAGGATCTCCAGGGCCCGGAAGAACTTGCCTGTGTCCATGAAGGCCTGAGCCACCTCTTCCAGCAGCCCCGCCACCTCACCCTGGTTGTTGCCCCCGCCCCTCCCCGCCAGATTGCCCCCACCGCTGCTGTTCTCACTGGCACTATCGGCTTGGCGCAAGGCCGAGAAGCACTGCAGTGCTGAGGTCAATTTATCCAGGTAGAGCTGACAGATCCCGAAGCGAACCACCAGGTCCACGGGCAAGGCCAATTGCTGCTGTTCCTCGCTCTCCTCCGCAAAACGCGTCGGTCGCTCCCGGAGCTTGGCAATGAATAGGTGCAAGGCCTGGACGACGGCCGCAGCGTCCGCGTACCGTTTGAGGCCCATCAGGTGCCTGCAGAGGGTGCTGGCAGCCTCGTAGGCCGCCTCCATCTTGCGGCTGGGGACGTGCCGGGCCGCTGCGGCCTTGACGGGCAAGAACTTGATCTGCTTCGCCACAAAGAGGGCCCCCATGACCCGACACAGGACCTCACTCAGCGCCTCCAGCCCCTTTTCCCAGAACCGGGCTTCGCGCAGACAGTCCTCGGCAAGGCGGAGGAGGAATTGCTCGGGCTGGCTGGGATTCAAGCGCAGCACCGCCTCGTAGCCCAGCACGGCCTTGTCCACCCTGCCCCACAGGCTCTGGACGTGCGCCCTGTCCGCGATGGCCTCCACGTCCTGCCGGTCCAGCTTGATGGCGCGGCCGAAGCAATACTGCGCCTTCAAGTAGAAGGGCCGGCCCAGCTCCAGAAACATTTGGCCCGTCTTCTTCCAGAGCCGCGCGTCTTTGGGTCCGAATTGGCAGCCCACCAGATTGATCTCCGCGGCTTTCTGTATCTCCCCCTGGTCCTCATAGATTTGCCCCATTGTCTGATAGGGGTCCGGCACGGTAGGGGCCTGGCGGACGACCTCGTTCAGCAAGCGCAAGGCCTCCCGGTACTCGGCCCGCATGTAATGGCGCTGTGCCTCCCCGTACACCCGGCTCAGGGACTCGGGCAGGATCCGCCCGCCAGTCAGCCCCTTTTTCTTCTTCGCCTTCCCTCTGGAGGCCTCCGGCACCTCCCCCCGCCCCTCGCGACGCGCCCGTCTCTTGCTCCGGCGACGTTGGCGCGCCGTAATGCGCTGCAGCTCCGCCACGTGGTCGATGAAGGGCACTGTCATTCCCCCCCCCTGTCCGCCACCTCTGACGGCTTCCAGGTCGTTGCCTGCCTCCTCGTACTCCCTCGTCATGTTCGCGTACGCCCAATTACCCTCCACGCCCCTCTCCTTCCCCTTTCCCCCCTCCGCCTCCCAGACCTCTCCCGCCTGTACGGCCGAGATCCCGGCTCCTTCTTTCCTTTTCCGTTTCCGCAAGCTCCTAGGCCTATTCTCCTCGTCGGAAGCTTCCTTGGTCACGGCCGCGCCATGAGCCAGGGGACCGGGCGACGCGCCTGCCTGGCTCTCCTTCCCACTGCTCTTCGAGCCAACCGCCGTGACCGTACCACCTTCCTCGTCTTCATCGAGATGAAATGCACTGAAATCCTCTTCCCCATCTTCCCCGTCCATCCTGTCCACCGCTTCAGCACCACCGTCCCCGCGCTCATAGTCCATTTCCTCTTCATCGTCATCATCTTCCTCTTCTGCCTCCTCGTCCTCCTCTTCCTCCTCTTCCTCCTCTTCCTCCTCGTCCTCTTCCTCCCCTTCCTCCCCTTCCGCGTCAGCTTCGCTTTGCTCATTATCATTCGTGTCCTCATTGTATACATTTTCTTCATCGTCTATGGAAGTGGCACGTAACTGACCGGCTGCCGTTCGAGAGCTCCATCTACGATCGGCCGGCTCCTCAACTCTCTCTGCCTCCTCCGGAGGGGCTTCTGATGTATTTGATACAGTCGTCCGCCTCCGCCGCTGCTGAGAGGGCATGACAATCAGGTGCCCTAGTAAGCCTATTAAAATTGTGATTGCGATGGGAGTAGGTGGGGATAGGAGGCAGCAAAGTGAAGATACTCGGGGAGGTCGTGGGCGTCTTAAATGCCACATAGAACGGGCCAAACCCGCGAAGAACGAACCGGTCAACCCGGACGACGGAAAAAGATGAAGAGGAGCCCTTTTGCGTCAAAGATAGATATTATCCACAACGTCAGTGCACGCAGGTACATAGGACGAGCAGGGTCTTCGGGTGCGCGCGAGAGGAGACATGGCCCAACATCTGCCGCGTCACAGCCTCTGCCCCTTCGACGCCCTCGACACGCATAACCATGTTTAGGATCCCACGCCGCCATGAGACGGCCGTGCGTCGCGCTTATCGCTTCCTGTGGGGCTCCGGCGCTCACAGTGCGGGTAGCCGGGCGTCTGGTTCATTCTTTGAGGCTTTTTGTGCTTTATCTCACGTTGTTCTTGTCGCCGCAGCGGCGGCTTCTGCGCGGTAAGGGACTTTCCGTGTCTGAACATATCGCGCCCCCCGGCACCACAGACATCCACGCGTCGTATGTACGCCGACAGTAGCAACAAGGCCATCACGCACTGATAACTTCTTTATTGTCAAGCGATACTTGTCGTATTTACCCCGTCTTGTTTGCCTTTTTCCATCACGAGGCATGAACATGGTCAGCATCGGTAGACATACGCCACCATCAGGAGCTTGTCTGTGTACATGACCGTAAGCCCTTTAACGCTGTCGCTGTCGACACGCAAGCCAAAAGACGTGTCACTCTTGGGAGGGGAACCATGGGTCTTTGACATCCCTCCTCCCCACCTGTCACAGGTGGATGTTTCCCTCCTCATCCTCCATCAAACGCAGTCTCAGCAACCTCTCCCCGGCAAAGATCTTGCGGAAAGGCAGCAACAGCAGCCTGAGCACTCAGGGTTCGCCCGCTAGAAGTCTTTCCGTCACTGAGGACGCGAGCAATAACATGGAGGCCACCACAACCGCCAGCACACCCACTCCCAGCACTAGCAACACAATGACAGTGCCTCCCTCCTCTGGGACCAACAGCAGCACCAACCCCCATGCTGCCACAAGCAGGAATCGAAGTCATCAGCTTTCATCCTTGCAAGTCGAAGTCCTGGAAGTGAAGGATCTCACGGGAGCTTCGGCAGGTCCTCTATACGTGGAATTACAGCTCGGGGAACAACGCCTGCGTGCCAACGTGAACAGCCGCCGGGCCATGGCGGCGGGTGCCCGTCCTGAAGCCGTGGTCTTCACGCAGAAAAAGTTGGAGGACCTCTACAAGGAGAACCTTAAGTTCAAACTGATCAACAAGGAAAGCAAAATGGTGCTGGGGCAGAGTCAACTGCCTGTCAAGAAGCTGATGATCGGCAAGAAGTTCGAGGCTTTCTTCAATCTGGCCCCGCCGCCCGTAGCCGGCAAGCGCGCCGCCGAAGTCCACGCAGGGCCCGCTATCCGCCTGTCGGTCGAGCTGATGGGGCCCCTCCGGAAAGAGTTTCGATTCCTGTCGGATGTGGTGAGCAAGTACTACTCCACCGTGGACCGCACCTTGGACGGCGCCGCCGCGGCCGGCCATGCCGCACAGCCCTACGTTGCGAACAAGTGGACCCTCCCCCTCCTTGTCCCATTCGGGGTCCTATTGCTGGCAGCGTCCCCGTTCATGGGTGTGGCCCTGACCATAGGCCTGCCCGTCTTCCTCCCCCTCCTCCTCTTGGGGCTGGTGGCGGGGCTCACCATGCTCATCGCCTCCATCATCCTCGCCCTCTCTTCGCGCGCTGGCCGGGGCCGCGTAGAGGCCTTGGTGGACCCGGTCATCCGCAAGCTCACGCACACGGCCACGGGCCAGCAGCTGCTTTACGAGACAGGGCCGCGCCCCTCCCCGCTTCGCATTGCCAAGACCTTTGCGCCCAAGGGTCGGTGGGAGCGGTTGGTAACCTCACTCATACTGGACACGATCGGTGCCTCCTCCTACCTCCTGCCAGTGCTGGGCGAGTTCACCGACCTGGCGTGGGCCCCTCTTTTCGCGGTGGCGCTGCACGCCATGTACAGCGAAACCTCTCCGTACGCGCACTACGTTGGCCTGGTCGAAGAGCTTCTTCCGTTCACGGACGTCATTCCCACGGCAACCCTGGCATGGTTCAGGGAGAACGGCGCGGCGCTGGCGAAGGACCTGCACATCAGCGCTGTAACGGGGCGGCGGGCGGGGGTTGTGGGAGCCGCAGGCGCTGGACTTGCGGAAGGGGGCCCTGGAAGCGGTGCTAGTCACGGTCGTCTGTGATGGTCGGCTACAATAGTACAATCACAGGAAAAAGGCCGCGAAAAGTCGCGTTGACGCTTTGCGCGTGGATACGCACGAGAGAGAGTGGTTCGGTCTCTATGAGCACTAAACGAAGGTGCGGGTTAAGCCGAGGCAAACTAAGATTATCAATAGATTGCTTGATGATGGATGCTTGGTTTGAGAAGTAAGCGGGATAATGGAGATCCTCTGTAATGAGTAACGTTTTGACACAGCGCGGTATGAGACGCGGCAAGTCCGATAAAACTGGCGCGAAACAAAAAAAATGAAGCACGCATATAAGCACCCGGGCGGTTCTAGGATGCGGAGGACAAATGTAAGGGTAAAGAAGTCAAATTTCCATTTTTTTAAAACATGAAGGTCCTGCGAAAATAAAGAAGCCAAAAGGGGCTGCGAAAGCATCCTGGAATGGGCCGACAACGATAACCTCCTGCCAAGCCGCTCCGGCATGATCCATCCTCTTCCGTCCATCCGCACAACGCAGACACTAAACGACTTGTCTATTATCCCATATTGTCTCTTATAATATAAAATGAACTTAGATGTCTTGGGTCAGGTGTGTCTTCTGGATCGCTGCTGTACAACACGCCTCCTCGGTAGCCTCTGCATTTCTAGGACCGTCATCCACCTGCTCGGCCTCACTCGCCCGCTCGAGCACGCGGTTTGTAGTGATGGCTGCACCCACCGCCGATACGGATCTCTTGCCATCGGGGGCTAAAAAGCCTCGTGCGCCGTTGCCGCCCGTGATTCTATCAAATGTGCCTGGCACTTGGGCGCATGACACCATGTCGCGGCGGATCCGGGATGACATCCTGGTTCGGATCTATGCTGAGAACGAAGAGCTCCTTGCGTTCAAACCCAGTATCAAATCAGGACTCGATCAACTTAAAGAAGAGCTCAAGACTCCACAAACATCCGTCCTTCCGCCGATTCAAGACGACGGTGGGCCAGACCTGGCCGTATGGGAGGGAATAATGGCACCGTACGCACAAAGCAACTGGCTAGACGCCCCGTGGTTAGTCACTGAATTTTATTTTTACAGGCGCATCATCCAGATTTTTCAGTATTTTAGGACCAGCTACGACCCATTTCATCACCAGAAACGCTTGGGGCTGGAAGGCGCCCTGGAGTTGACCAAAGAATTGGTAGCACGAGCCGAGGAGGTGCACAAGGCGGGGGATCCGGAGACCGCCCTACACTTCGCGGTCTTCGCTTCCCTCTGGGGAAACAAAATGGACCTGAGCCTTTGGCCCTCGCAATCGGATGGCGCAGCGGCCAACAAGGCTCAGACCTTTGCCAACGTGTTGGAAGCAAGCTCGGTGAACCTGCTCGCGGACGACTTCTCCACCGTCTTGGCCCATTTGCGGGGGGCTGGGGCGAGCGGGCGCGTCGACATCGTCGTGGACAATGCGGGCTTCGAGCTCGTGACTGACTTGCTCCTCGCCGACGCCCTGCTCCTGCACAAACTGGCTTCCCAGGTGGTTTTCCACCTGAAAGGCCACCCCACCTTTGTCTCGGACGCCATGGAGAAGGACGTCAGGGACACGGTCCACTACCTCGCCTCCCACCAAGTCGTCGCCGCCCGCGACCGTTGGTCTTCCTACCTGCAGACCGGGCAGTGGGACCTGCGCGCGCACAACTACTGGGCCCAGCCTTTTCCCTTCTGGGAGCGGCCAGATGAGGTGACGGAGGACCTGAGCCAGTCCCGCTTGGTATTCGTGAAGGGGGATGCCAACTACCGGAGGTTGCTGGGCGACCGGGACTGGCCATTGTCCACACCCTTCGCCGACGTGGCCTCCTATTTCCCCTCCCCGGTGACGGCGCTACGCACGCTCAAGGCGGAGCTGGGGTGTGGGATGGCGGAGGGGGAGGTAGAGAGGGCGAGGCGGGAGAAGCCAAGGGACTGGATGGTGACGGGGACGTATGGCGTTGTCCAGTTTACCGATCCGGACGTATGATGGAGGTGGGCAGGATGATAGAACGAGGAGCGTGGGGACTCTGTATCAAAGCACGTGCGTGGGCGGGGATGGGATGGGTCGAGAAGAAGCAGAGAAAGAAAGAGGGACCTCTGACATGGTGGGGTCGGGCGGATGAATAAGGAGAAGGCGGACTGAGAGGAGTAAAGAAATCAACTACACTCAGGCGTAGGCCCTGCGCCTTGCCTGCCATGTGCTCCTGCTGCTTATCGAGCGCGCTGTACATTCTTTCGGACACAAGCCGGCTACTCCTCCTCCGACCCGCCCATCAGCCCTGGCCCCTCCATTTCCTCCTCCCCCTCGCTGTAGTCGTCTATTTTGGGCGCCTTCATCAGATAGTCGTCCTGTATCGCCGCCCAACTCGCCTCTCTCTCCGCTTTCCCCTCCGTCGCGAATTCATCCATGAAGGAATTTCCGCCCCCACCACTCTTCTCCCTCGCGGGGCCTCCGTCAGCTCCCATGCCTCTGGACTTTGAAGTGGAGGACTTTAGCATCTCAAGAAATTCCTTCTTGGACATGTCCTTGGCCTTGCCTGCGCGTGCAGACGGTCATCAGGAGAGGAGAGAAGGGGGAGGAAGAGGAGGAGGTGGGGAGGGAAGAGGAGGGTGGGGAGGAGTATGAGGGGTAAAAGCCGACGACGTCGAGCCTGAAGCGTTGCTTACAAGTTTAAAAACACATACAGCTTCAAGGGGCTCGGTAAGGAGATCAGATAGGGGCGAAAGATAAGATGGCTTCTTTGTCATCAAGGATAATTCAGGTGAACTATGCATTGAATTTGGCAATCATCACTTCGGCCTCACCTAAGCCAGGGGCAACACGCGCTCTTGGAGACTCTCGACCCCTCGTTGCCCATCAAAGGAAAGAATGACAAAACCTCCTCCACATCCATCGACCTACCTGGCCCGGACCCGCCCCCTTTCTCCTCCTGCGCCTGCCGCGCCTTGGTCACGGCGTTGAAGAGGGCCACCACGCCGCGGGTCGCGATGCGCTTGAGCTGCCTTTCTTTTTCTGCATCCGTATGGTCTGGGACGTAAAGCTGATGATTGAGTGCCGCTCGTTTCCGCTCTGCGGCGGTCTTGGCACGGGCCCTTGCCTTCTTCTCCTCCTCCATCTCCTTCATCAACGCGGTCCGACGCTTGGCCAACACGGGCGCCTTTTTATCCACCTGTTGGTTCAAAATGCGCGCCATCACGTCGGCCATGCCGTCTTTTTGGCCCCTGTCAGGCCTGGTGGGGCCTTCTCCTCGGCTGCCGTCCGACATGACCTCGTCGTCCTCCCGGCCACCCACATCCTCGTCGAAGCTTTCCATACCCGCGTCCGACTCATCTCCTTCCTGCCCCACACCACTGCTGCTGCTAGCGTCGCTTCCACCGTCTATGTCTTCCTTTTCATCGTCACTTTTGTCGTCGTGGTACTCCGTTGAATCAAGAGCACGCGTAGGGCCTGCAGCTCGCGCAGTATCTTGCAAAGACGACTTTTTCGAAGCCTGCCTTTGTTGCGCTTTTTCCTGACCATCCTCGTCTTCACTCGATAATTCTTCCTCTAACCGCTTCAGCTTTTTCTGTAGCCTTTTTTCCTTCCGGCTAGGCTTCCGTTTTACCACCATTGTGGAGCTTGACATTGTGGTTGTATGGAGGGGAGGTCTGAGGCATGAGGGTAGGATCATAGCAAATAACAATACAAGGCATCGCACGACAAGTTCAATTGTCATGTCCTTTAGAGAATTTTGGTTAAATGACAGACATCCTGATAACCAAACTAATGAAATCGTGGATGATTCCACCGCAGAGCTGCCGTCTAGAGCACTCAATGTACCCCTTGCTCTCCCCTCCGCCCCTCGTTGCGCCCCCTTCCCCTCGCTTTCGCCTCCCACGCCCAAGGTCGCCGTTTTTGTGCCCCCCTCCCCCGTATTCACCTGGCTTCGGACTCATTCGTTTCACAGGTTGATGAAGGATAAGACCGTCGCCTGGGCTGGCCTCTACAAGGCACGACCCGGAAGCAGTCGACTAGATTTTGGGCCCTTCCTTGTCACCTACGTTGTGTTGCTCGCTGTGGCAGTCGCTCCTTTTACAATAGTAGAGGACCGAAATGAATCGGTCACCACATCCAGCACATCCGAGCGCAATATTCCTTTGTGGATCCTTGTTGCATGGCCCTTTGTCCTCATCACCCACCTGCTGACGCATCTGTCCACGCATTGGTCCGTAGCCTGCAATGCCGCCGTCTCTTACACCCAGGTCTCGACGGTCCAGGAGGCCACTCATGTCCGCGTCCGGCCTCCCCGCAACTCAGGCGTGGAAGAGATAGTTCCATTGGAGCGTGTCAGCCATGAAAATGTGGAAAACGGCGGAGGTACTGCGGTGTTGCTACCGAAGGACACAGCAGCGCGAAGCATCACAGTGGTAGGGGAAGACCATAGCTTGCCTTACGCACGCTTTACTTTTCAAAAAACAGTATTTTGCTACTGGAAGCCTGCGGCACGGAGAACAGATTTTGAGCGTCTCTCGTATCCTACCTGTGGGCTTGTTCAGCACTTCCATGCACGCACGGGGCACACACAGGAGCAAGAAGTCGCGATGGCTGGTCGAATATGGGGGAAAAACGTGTTCGACATCCCCCTCCCGCCCTTCCTGGAGCTGTTCAAGGAGCATGCCGTCGCACCATTCTTCGTGTTCCAGGTGCTATGTGTGTTGCTGTGGTCCCTGGACGAGTACTGGTACTACTCCCTCTTCACCCTCGTCCTCCTGGTAGTCTTCGAGTCCACCGTCTGCTACCAACGCCAACGGTCGCTGGAAGAGCTGCGGTCCATGCGCCGACCACCCTACCGTGTCTGGGTTCATCGGGAAGGGCGCTGGACCTGCCTCTCGACCGAGGCATTGCTTCCGGGTGACCTGGTCTCTTTAGGGAGGATGAACGCCCACCCTGCCGCCGGCGCGGAGGAGGAGGAAGAGAAGGCCCTCAGGTCCCGCGCCAAGGGCTCCTTTCTAGCAAAATTCAAGGGAAAGGGCGGCGGGTCGAATCGACGCGCCCGTCACCAAGCTCACCCTCCACCTCCGGTGAATGCCGAGCGCGGGCAGGGAGAGGAGGCTCCGCCCTCGGAGCGGTTGGTCCCGTGCGATTTGCTGCTGCTGCGGGGTTCGTGTATCGTCAACGAGGCGATGCTGACGGGAGAGAGCACTCCGCAATTGAAGGAATGCCTGGAAATGGAAGGAAGTGAAGGAAGGAGGAAAAGGGGGGGGATGGAAGGCGGTGGAGGGCCTGAGGAGGACTTGGTGCCACCTCCCTTCTTCTCCCTGGGAGCCGGTGTCTCTGCCAACGCGCACGTCCGCTCGCACGTCGTCTTTGGAGGGACCAAGGTTTTGCAGCTGGGGGAGGAAAAGCAGGCCCAAGGCGAGGGCAAAAAGAGCGGCGGCAGCAAAAGCAACGTCCGAGGGCCCCCGGACCAGGCGGGGGCCCTCGGCTTCGTGCTTCGGACGGGATTCGAGACGAGCCAGGGCCAGCTCATGCGCACCATCTTGTTCGGCACCCGGCGCGTGACGGCTGGGTCTTCTGAGACCGCGGTCTTTATCGGCATCCTCCTGCTCTTTGCGGTGGCGGCGGCCGGGGTGGTGCTCAGGGACGGGCTCAAAGACGAGGGCCGGAACCGTTTCAAGCTGGGGCTGCATTGCATCATGATCATCACCTCCGTGGTGCCACCCGAGCTCCCCATGGAGCTTTCCCTCGCTGTCACCAACTCTTTGGCCGCCCTGAGCAAGGCCCTGGTCTTCTGCACGGAGCCCTTCCGGATCCCCTACGCGGGGAAGGTCACCACCTGTTGCTTCGACAAGACCGGCACTCTCACCTCGGACGACCTCGTTTTGCGGGGCCTCGTCTCTTTGGACGGCCGCCAGGAAGCCTCCTCGGAAAAAATCGGGTCGCAGGGTCGAGCCTCGCCCGGCGCGCGTGAGAAAGAGGCGGCGGAGGAACGAGTCCTTCCCCCGACGGAGGTGGCCGGTCCCGCCCTCTGGGTGCTCGTTGCCTGCCACTCCCTGATGACGGTCGAGGGCCGCGTGGCAGGCGATCCCATGGAATGCGCGGCTGTGGAGGGCTTGGGGTGGATGGTCTCGGGGGAGGGCAACATGGTCCTGCCGAACCCGGCGTCGCCGGTCATGCTGCAGAGGCGTGGCCCGGAGGCACCGAGGCAGGAGCGGGACAAGGCGGCCCTGGAAGACATGCAGCCCATTCGCCTCCATCATCGCTACCCATTCAGCTCGAGTCTGCGTCGCATGTCTGTCCTCGCGTCCCGTCCTGCCCTCCCCCCCTCCCCGCCGCATTCGCGACAGCTCCTGATATTGACCAAAGGGGCGCCCGAGGCCATCCGCCCCTTCCTCTCGGCCGTTCCCTCCAATTACACCTCCTCCTACCTGTATCATATGGGTCGTGGTCGACGGGTGCTGGCGCTGGCCTACCGGGTGCTGGGGCCGGGGACGGACTACAACGCCGCGCGGCAGCTTAGCCGGGAGGAGGCGGAGAAGGATTTGACCTTCGCTGGGCTCTTAATCGTGGACTGCCCCTTGAAGAAGGAGACAGCTAGCGTGATGGAGGCGTTGCACGCCTCTAGACACCGGACCGTGATGATCACCGGGGACTCCGCCTTGACAGCCGCGGAAGTGGCGCGGCAGGTAGGGATGGTGCCCCACGGGCCTAAGGAAACCCTGCTCTTGGGGTCCAGGCCCGCGGGCAAGGGGGGGGGGAAGGAGGGCGGGAGGGAAAGCAACGGGGGGCT